TCTGATCAAATTAGATTAATCCAGATCAAGTTTGATCAAAATTAATTTAAAAATTAGATATAAATAGATCTGACTTGATCTATGCAGATCTAATTTAATCTGATTATTACGCGGGAAAAAAGTTTAGATATGATCAGATCAAGTTAGATCAAGTCAGATCAAGCTTGATGAATATATGTAATCATGAAGGTGATATGGATATATCTAATTAGATCTGCTCTGATCAGAGCAGATCTAATTAGATCTATCCATATCACCTTTATGATTACATATATTCATCAAGCTTGATCTGACTTGATCTAACTTGATCTGATCATATCTAAACTTTTTTTCCCTCGTAATAATCAGATTAAATTAGATCTGCATAGATCAAGTCAGATCTATTTATATCTAATTTTTAATTTAATTTTGATCAAACTTGATCTGGATTGGTCTAATTTAATCTGATCAGATCTAGTTTGATCAGAACAGATCTATTCATATCTACTTTTTAATTTCATTTTAATCAAACTTGATCTGGTTTGATCTAAGCAGATCAAATGAGATCTGTCCATATCTACTTAGATCTAAATTTAGATCAAATCTAATCTGCTCAGATCAAATTTGATCAGAGCAGATCTAAACTTTTTTTCCCGGGATATAGCAACCAATTTTTTGGTATCAGAAGTAAAAAAAAAATTAGGTCAATCCAAATATGCTTGCCTTAAGCGTTCATATTAGACGTTAATTTATCAAAGTAGTTTAAATATAATAAAAATAACAAAATATCAATAATGAAAAAATTCAAAAATTATCTTAGTAAATTTTCTTTAAAATTCTTTTTTATTGTTTGCTTGAATTTTCCCGCGAAAAATTGACAGTTAATGACAAATGACAGAAACGCGTGCGCACATAGATTCTATAGGAAATTTAGTTTTAAAAAAAATCAATATAAGTTTATGGCTGCCCGATGAGTAAATATTACGACAGCATGATGATAGAAATATTTTAATTACAATAAATCAGGTCAAATAATTGCGTTATTCGAGAGCTATAGTGTTAAGAACACGATAACTTACCTACAAAATTTTACAAAATATTGTTTAATCAATGTTTTTTATAAAATTGCTTATCAATCAACTCTAAAATGTATGAAATTTGTTCATTAATGTTTTTTCTATGTTTCGGTATATATTTTTTTACGCTTCAATCGAATATAATTAATTTAAAGAAAAACTATGTGTTAACATCAATGAGTTTTTAATTTTAGGCAATAGTAGAACATACCTATGCGCTTCTCGAGTAAAAAAGATTTTATACAATTAGATACAATTGTATAAAATTATACAGAATTATATATAATTATTTCCATAGAAATAAAAATATCTGGCGTGGGCAGGGATCGAACCTGGGACCTGACGCTTGGAAGACTGATTCACTACCTTTTTACCTACTAGACTTACTTGAGTTCAGTGTGTAATAACTATAAGTAATGAAAATCGTATACATGATCGATTCGTAATGAACAAAATTTTTTATGAAATTTATAAATGATTCATTATTAATATATATATATATATATATATATATATATATATATATATATATATATA